AAGCGGCAGCTGCAGTTCTTCTGCATGACCTCGGTGCGGGCAAAGCCGGTGAGGTCGCAGAAGCCATCAGAGCAGTAGACGATGGGGAAGCCACAGCGGCCCTGTGCGTTCGCCAGGATGAAGTTGCTGTCTGAAAGGAGACACAGCTGCCCCCGAGGCCTTGGGGCAACCTCAGAGGGCATGATCAGCAGCCCAGCCCTCCCGGCCCCCCCATGTGTCCCTCTGGGAAGTGGAGCCAGATCTCCACGTGGCTGCTGGCTGCCCCTAGATGCTCCCAGAGCTTGCTCATCCCTTCTCCTGCTGCCCCCAAGGTCCCAGCCCAGGCAGGACCCCAGCCCCATGTTCTGGAAGGGGAAGGAGCTCGGATCCATCTCCTGGCCCCCATCACCCACGCGAGGCAGCTCACGCCTCCCCCTCGCCATCTGCCACTCCAGCTCCGCCGGGGCTCAGGGAGCTTAGCGGGAGCAGCAGCTCCCGGCTGGGCATATCCAGCCCAGAGGTGCCCAGCTGTGGTGCTGACACCCCCAGAGGTGTGGGGTGCTGGGACACCAGCTGAGAGGGTGGGAGAAAAGCCATGAGCCCACGGGAAGTCAAGGGCCAGTGCCCAGCTGCCAGAGAGGAACCACAGCATCCTCGGCCTCTCAGCAACACCCAGAGCCTCCCCAGCGTCACCCAGCCCTGGCAGCGGGAGGTGGCACCAGCCACAGGAAAGTCCTCGCCAGCCCCGTGCCCTGCCCAACTACAGAATAGCTGTTCTGCCCCCCAGCCCCCAGCCACAGGCCCTGCCCCACAGCACCAGTAGGACAGGCAGGCTCACGTTAGCAGGGTGCCAAGGAAGTGGGTGTGCAGCTGGCATGGACTGTGGTGGAACCCAGTGTGGGCAGACCAGGCTGTTCCCAGCCCCAAAATGGCCTGAAGTGGTGGGTGCCCAGCACAGGACCCCGGCACCACACAGCCAGGATCAGGAAGATGTGCTCTGCCCCCCTCACAGAAGAAAGGAGCCCATGGTGATGCCAGGACCCGCACACCACGGGCAGAGCGATGCCAGGGCAAGGCAAACACAGCAAGAGGCTGCGGGAGGGAAGGGATGCAGCCCCGGCCGATGGGGGTGCCGTGGGGCCACCACAGCACAGCTCAGCCCAGGATTAGCTCGGAGAAGCAAAAATAGCCTGAAGCTGTGACTAAGGCCAGATTTTGGCTCTGGGAAGCCGGGATTATGGTGATATCCAGGATGTGTTATTAGAACAGAAAACAAGGGTTTGCATTTGGGAGTGGCTCAGTGAGCTGGAGGATGTGGCTCTGGCAGGCTTGGCAGACCCCAGCCATGGTGGCCAGTGGGCCTGGCCAGGTGCCCCGGGGCCCAGAGCAGCAGCTGCCCGGGAGAGGCAGGGTTAACTCCCCTCGGGGTATCACTGCGCTAAACCCCTCTCCATGGCAGATAAAGCCGATAAGATGCACATCAAACCCGCAAAGCCCCACACCGTTTAAAAGTGCCCGGAGGCGGTTGGGTAGCTTTGGACGGGGGACTGCCAGGGCACTGGAGGCAAAGCCAGGCTCTCCGGGGCAAATTCCCAAGGCTTTGGTGGTGGTGTTGCAGTCAGCTTCCCCCAGAACCTCCCAGGAAAGCCTGATCCTGGAGCTCTGCCCCTCCGGAGGGACAGGGGGATCACAGCCATGTGGTACATGTGGCTCTGCCCTGTCACCCTCAGGAGCAGCTCAGTCAGAGTAGGAGAAGAGAGATTTCTCACACGTTGCAGCCCCAAGGATAACATTCCAAATTTCAGCTTCCCCGGGCAAATGACCCCCTGCGCCACCGGGGCTGCCCCGTGTCACTCCAGGGCAGGAGACAGCTCGGCAAAGAAGCAAACACATGCTCCAGAGTGCTCCGATTGCCTCGACAGTGCCCTGGGAGGTGGCTGCGGGCTCCCAGGAAGGGAGGAGATGATTAGCCATGCAGGCAGCTGGCCCGGGAGACACCTGCTCCAGGTGTTTTTGAGGTGAAGCTGAGGTCAGTCATGAGCACGGCCCGTCCCCGGGTGGCTTCATGGTGCCGGCAGTGCTGGAGCTGGGGTGTGGCGCCCGGACATCACCTACCCCGGCTTCAATCCGTGCCGGGGCCGGCACATGGACACGGGGAGGAACTCAGGGGCCGGGGACACGGGCACGGGCCGGGGCAGCGGTGGGGCCCGGGGGTCCCGGGTCAGCCCGGGCGTATTGAGCCCGACCGTGCCCTCTCCGGATGTCCCCCGCCCCTCCCGGGGCCCCGCGCGTCCCTCCGGCAGTCACCGGGATCTGTCCCTGGTGCTGAGCGCGGCTGCGGCGACACCGAGCGGCACCGGCAGCGGGAGCGGGGAGAGCCCCGCGGGGATGGCCCGGGGCACGGGCACGGCGAGTCCCGGAGCACCGAGCCCAGATACGGGACGGTCCCCGTACGGCGCGTGGGTGGCCGCACCCGGCCGAGGCTCCGGCTCAGCGGGGCCGGGCCGAGCCCTGTCCCCTGTCCCGTTCGCCGTGTCCTGCGGGGCAGCGCCTTTCCCCACCCGGTGTCCTCCCTCCGCCGCCGCCACGGCCCCTCCCCGGTCCCGTCCCAGCCCTACGTGTGCCATCGAAGCGGGTGGCGATGGTGTCCAGGAAGGTGTTCTGCGGCGCCAGCAGCCCCTTCATCACCGGCATCGTCCCGCCCGACCGGCCGGCCGCCGCGGGGCTGCGGCGGCGGGGCTGCCTCCGCCGCCCCCGGCCCCTCCGCGGCGCCGCAGGCTGATCCCGGCCCGCCCGGGGCTCCCGGCACGCCCCCGCTCCGCCCCGGCACCGGGAGGGGCCTCGGCACCGTCGAGCACCGTTCCCCGCCCGCGGGTGGGGCGGTCTGGCCCGGGGGGGCTCTGGGTTGGAGGCGGCGGGACCCGCTCGGCATTGGAGCCGCCGTACCGGGAGCACCGGGAGCCGCTCGGCACTGGAGCCACAGTACCGGGAGCACCGGGAGCCGCTCGCCCCCGGCCCTCCCAGCCCCGCGGGGGCTGCAGGAGGAGCGGGACCCGCCGCACCTCGGTCAGCCTCTGTCCTGGTACCGCGCCCAGGCAGCTGCACGCCCCGGTGCAGGCACATGAGCCCGGTCCAAGCGCGGCTCCGGCAGCTGCCCCGGCGCTGCGCCCGCCCAAGCCCTCCCCAGAGAGACAACAGAGCCGGGTGACATCAGGCTACCATTTATTGTAAAAGGCCGCGGTGCCCGCGGTGCCCTGAGCAGGCCGGGCCAGGGCCAGGGCTGGGAGGAGGTATCTAAAAGTGCTATTTACACTGAGCTCCGGCTGTGTGTCCCCGGAGTCCACCCTGCCAGGGATCCCCTCTCTGTCCCGCTGCCCCCATCCCATTTAGTAAAAGCTCCTCGCAGCTCCCTGGGCCTGGCTCGTGCTCAGATCCTTCCCTGAGTGTCCCTGGCACTCCCTGGGGCCGTCAGGGCTGCTGTCAGCACCTCTCGGCACCGCTGTCGGCTGGGCGACCGTGCCCGCAGGGCAGCCCAGCGTGTCGTGGCAGGTGGTGCCAGGGTGCTGCCCGCGCTTGCCCATCGTGAGGATGCCCGCAGCGTGGTTGCCGGAGCCATGGAGCAGGCGGTACAGCCGGCTCTGGAAGGCCAGGGGAACGCTCTTCCTCTTGCCCAGTGTGAGGATGCCAGCGGCGTGGTTGCCCATGCCGTGCAGGAGGTCGTAGACACGGCAGGAGCAGGTCTTCTGCCGGCAGCAGTGGGGCAGGTTCTGCCGAGCAGCAGCCAGGGAGCAGAAGAGGAGCAGGAGCAGGAGGCAGGCAGCTCGCCGGGGCTGCCGGAGCAACGCGCAGCGTTAGAGCAGGGCAGCGACAGGGCAGAGAGGGGGGGAACTGCAGAGCCCCAGGACCCTTCCCCCTGCTGTGCTCACTGGTGTTTCAACTCCTCCCTGCCCTGGTTGTTGCCACAGCGGCCCAGCCCCACACCCGAGGTGCACCTGGACTGTCGCCCTTCGCAGCACCCTCACCTGTGATCCAGCCAGCAGCCAGATGTGGGTGTCCTCACCGCAGCCCTGCTCCGGCACACAGCAGCTGTGGCAGACACCCTCCTCTCTGCCCAGTGCCATGGGACAAGGTGTGAATGCTGCAGGCATTGCACGCCCAGCTCCCTCCCAAGCAGTCCCCTCATCAGCTGCTGGTACAGTCGGGGAGTCCCGGGGATTTGCTGCCCACTCGGAGATTCCCAAGAAACCGGCCAGGCCCTCCCACACCCCCAGCCCTACACTCTGATCTCTCACCCATCGCTGTTCTCTTGTCCCCAGGGGCTGCAGCACCCCAGCCCCACCTTGGTGTTGGGCACCTCCATCCTTCCTGGGGTCTTCAGGTGGCCGAGCGGCTCTGGGGCATGTCCCATCGGGCAGCCGACAGCACGGCACCCTGCACTGCCACTGCCACTTTATAGAGCCCGGCACAATAGTGCTGCCAAAAATACCGCTGGGCCAGCGGCAGCGACTGGTCTCTGGGAGACGTGGGAGCGCTGTGGCCGGTAGCCCGGAGACGGTCCAGGCCTTTCGCCTCATTTTTCCCCTCATTTGCACGTCCCCATTGTGAGGGTACTCACTGGACGGGATGCCTGGCACTAATGAGGCCATAATTGCCCCCGGGCCGCGCTGCTGTGCTGGCACAAATGGGCTGAAGGTCAGCTCTGGCCGGCTCCGACAGCAGCGCAATGCGAGGGGCCGCTGCTCAGAGCCCCATTAGGCTAATTAAACCCCCGAACAAAGGGCTGCCAGCAGCTCTACGGCTCCCTGACTGACGTGGTGAGCCGTCACCCTGCGCTTGGCTGCTGCCAGGGAGGGATGGTGCCACCAGGGTCCTGTACCTGCTGCCACCCTCCATCCCCTTTGGTGACACCATTCCATCCTGCTCCAGCGCCTGGAACAGAGGGAGCCACAGGGCACCAGGGAGGGTCTTGCACTCTTTATAACACTGCACAGCCCCCGCCTGACCCCAGACCACCTCCAGCCTTTGCTTGTGCTGAACTCCCTTGCCCTGGGGGATGAACCCAAACATTTCCCTGATGCCAGAAGCCACGGCTGCTGTTCAGGGACACCCTGGCCCCACATCTGCTGCACCAGAGAACCTCCCAGCTCCTCTGTATAGTGGGGACCCTAGGGATGCTATGGAGGTGACAGGACCAGTCAGGATCCTTCCTGCCCCAGCCAGGTTTTCCCCAGGGCTGGTGAAGGCCAAACCTGCAGCCCTGGAGAGGGTGGGCAGAACTCCAGACCTGGGGCTGCTTTTCCACGTGGCATCTGGCACAGCAGGCTGGGTACATGCACATGGGCACTGGGGTACCAGCATCCCCACTGGCCCCTCGGCAGAGTACTGGCTCCAGAAGCAGATGGAGGGGATGGATGAGTCCTCTGGGAGCTTGGTGGGGCAAAAGGGAGCAGGGACATCTCTTCCCAACCTCTCCACTGAATTCTGGTGCAAGCCCCTCAACACGGCAGAGCACAGGCACCCAGCCTCACACACATTCCCCGGGCAGGCTGGGGCTCCCTGCTCCCGGCCCCTGCGGCCAAGGGTGCTCAGTCCGGGCCCCGAGCCCCAGACCGGGGTCAGCAGGACGCTGTGTCGCCACCTCCGTCTGTCTCAGGGATGGGCTCCAGCGGAGCTTGCAGCCGAGAGGGCTCCGGCGAGGCTGATCCGTTCCTGCCGATGCCGCAGGACTGCCCCGCGTTGTGGATCTGCCACAGGTTGTCCAGTGCCTCCGCCTTGGCATGCTTGAGGAGGTCAGCCTGGCCCTGCGGGGAGGAGACGGGGGTGTGTTAGGGTGGAGGCAGGAGGGTGAAGGGGCAGGACAGGGCAGGGCAGAGGTATCCCTGCAGCCTTTGCCCCTCACCTTGAGGACGGTGATGTTCCAGGCGAAGCTCTCCAGCGCCTTCTGCAGCTTGCGGCCCCGCAGCCCTTCCTTGGTCTCGATGCGGTGCAGCTCCTTGTGGAAATCCATCCCTGCATTGGTGGGAGAGGTGCTCAGTGGGTGCAGGGACATTGGCACAGGGACAGCCACCACCCACGACCAACAGGGACCAAGCCAGAGGGATGCCCTTTGCCCACCATGGGGTTGCAGGCTGGGTGGGCTCCCCCCTGCCCCGGGAGCCTCAAGAATCCTCTATGCCCCAAATGATGGGCCAATGGAACCCCGAACATCCCAGCACCATGGTCAGCTGTGGCCTGTGGCCGCTCTGGACCCCAGAGGTCTGGAAGGGCAGTGGAGACCCTGGACAGAGGCACAGCTCTTGAATTCCATGGCTCATCTGGGGGGGAGTGGGAGCAGGGCCACCAGACCCCCCCATCGGAGCGCAGGCCCCGTCACTGTGCCCCACGTGACATCCCCTGAGTGGGTGCTATATTTACCCCTCCTGACGCAGCACCGGCTCTGGGCCCACGCGAGGGTTCCCACGCAGCTCGCTCGCCCTCGCGCTGCCAATCAGCGCTCCCACGGCCCCACGCCCCCGCCGCAGCTCCCCGGACCCCCAGCTCCTGCCAGCCGGGTTCCGGCTGTGCTGCCACCGCAGGGGCTTGTCCACAGCACGGCCAGGGTGAAAGCAGGGACAGGCAGCAGCAGAGCACGGGGGTGGGGGCTGCAGCCGCCAAATTGCTGCCTACCGGCACCCCTGGAACCTCTGAATCCCTCTGCACACCCCAGAATTGCTCTGCCCTGCAGCACCCCAGCGCAGCAGCCAGAGCAGCACAGAGGGCACAGCACCAATCTGTGCCCTGCAGCTTGTGCCCCACTGCTCCACTCCCCCAGTGCTCACAGCAGTGGCAGAGCTGAGCCAAGAGCTTGGGGAGATTTCCGTCTGCCGCGTAGGCAGGGAACAAACACGGCTGCTGGCAGTGAGGCTGGCATGGCGGGGACAGCAGAGCAGGGCCCCCTCCTTCTTCCCCAGCCCCTCCAGCTCCTGACACTCTCCCAGCCCCAAGGGGAGCCCACAGAAGTCTCTGGAGCTGGTGGGGCTATCCCTGTGGGGTCCCAGCCAACAGAAGGGCCACGCAGCCATCAGGGCCTGGAGTGGGGCCAGAGGTCCCAGGCAGCTGCCAGAGTGGGGGCACCTGCGGGGAGGACCAGGGCAGGCAGCAGCAGCACCTGCCTGTGTGGGTTCTGCCATGTGTTTGGGAAGTCTTAACACTCAGTTGCCATTTCTGCCGTCAGCCCTAGCCTGTTATTTCTGGCACTAATTATGTTCTGGTTTTTGACAGCTAATGACTCTTCCCCGCTTCCTCATCAGCCTCCCCCACTCTGCTTGCTCCCTACCACACAGCTCTGCAGCCCACCCACCTGCACCCTGCCCCAGTGCAGGAAGCCCTGAGCCCCAGGACGTGCTTGGGTCCACAGCCAGAGCCAGAGCGGAGCTGGGGCTGCCCTCCAGGACCCACCTGCCTGCTGTGCCTGGATGAGCTTCCCGTACACGGCGTCGGCAGACTCGATCAGCGTCCGGCTAGTCTGGATCATCTAGGGAGAGGGGCAGCGTGAGGAGCTGGCCAGCCCTGGCCCTGTGCCCCCAGCCAAGTGGATGAGGAGATGGGGCTCATCAGGGGCTGTCCCCACACCAAGCCCAGGGCCTGGCCCTTCCCACCTCACCACACATGGCTGGGTATGGTGTGACCTGCACCTGGCCAATGGCCAGGTTCCCTTCAACACAAAAGAAGGAAACAGCTCTGGCTGTGGCTATTAATGGGATTTCTCCCACCTGGTGGGACCAGGACAAGGAACAGGCAGTGCAGACATAGGGGAGGGGCTGCAGTGTCCAAGGGTCAGATGATCTGGGCAAGCCTGTGCCTTGGCAAGACTCCTTCCTGGGCAGCCCTCATGCAGCCCCCGGCCACTCACCTTCCTCTGCCCCAGGATGGGGACAGTGAGCTCACAATTCTCCATCCTTGGACCTTCTGATCCATCCCACAAAACCTGCCTGGGTTCATCCCACAAGCCTACTCAGGTTCATCCCATAAAACCTGCACCACCACTGGCTGCTGGTCCCTCTGATCCCAGGGAGCCTCCCCAAGGAGCTGAGCCCGGCAGGACGGCACTTACCGTCTCGTAGGCAGTGAGGACCTTGCGCAGCAGATCGGGGATGGGGCCCTGGGCCTCCATGGGGGGGTACTGCTCTGCCAGGTTGAGGGTGACACTGGGTGCGCTGTCACTGTGCAGCAGCCACGTGGACACCGTCAGGATGCACTGCTTCATATTGGCAGCGGGTGTCAGCCCACACAGCTCCTTGAAGGAGACCAATGCATTCTGCAGAGACCAGTGTCCAGTGTCAGTTCAGCTGGGCAGACCCCCAGGAGCACCCCCATTTCCCACAGCTCTCTGCTTCTCGCTCACATCCCCCGGGAAAAGGGGGACAGCCTGGCTCCCCACCACTCTCAGTCCAGCCCCATCCTCCCCTGCACAAGCCAGGTCCCCGGGTGCCTCTGCAGGGTCCATACCTGTACATTCTCCCGCAGGTCAGTGGCCTCCCGCAGCGGCTGGGTGGCCGTCCGGAAGACTTCATCGATGGCTTTGATGCCAGTGGCCTTGGTGGAAGTGTACTCCCGCACTCGGCGGCCCCGGCGCCCCGCCAGCCCCCGGCGGTGCCCCTTGCCCCCACCACGGCGGTCAGTGATGGCCACATGCACAAAGAGGGTGGCGTGGGGCAGGGGCTCCCCGGCCAGCGACTGGAGGGGGACATGGCGGTAGCCAGGCTGCAGGCACTCGAAGGGGATGGTGTACTGGGCAATGAACTCGTCCCCAATGTAGTCATCGTCCAGCACAACGAAGCGCAGGACAGCCAGCTCCGGCAGGTTGATCTGGAACTCCAGGCTCTCGTCGAAGATGGGGTTGTCCCCGCTCTGCAGGGCTGTCTTGGTGCGGTGCTCAGCGCAGTCGGCCGGGATGCCATGGATTTCAGCACAGACATAGGGCTCCACAACCTCCCCCTTGGCCCCCGAGCCCTTGGGCTTGGGCAGGTTCTGCCCACTGATGACCTTGAGGTGCAGGAGCTGGGCAGGCACCCCAGGCAGGGAGTCCTTGGCGTTGGCACTGAAGTAGGAGACCTCCTCCCGCATGATGGCCGGGCGGAGGACGTAGCCACAGGCCCCGTTCTGCCGGAACCAGCCCGCATTCAGGTCCATCATGAGCCCTGGTGTCTGGTAGTTCATAGCCACCATCTGGCAGCCGCACTTCCAGAAATCCTGGGGGTTCATGTTGCTGGCATCGATGCGCATGGGGCTGGGGTAGATGCGGGAGAGGAACCGCTTGTTGTAGCTGACCAGCTCAGCCGGGCACTCGTTGGCAAAGCGTCCCGCCTCCACCTCGCTGAAGGAGCACATCTCCCAGTAGCGTTGCCCACGTCTCGAGCTCTCAAAGTCCTGGAAGGGGACAGCCTGGCAGAGGCTCACCAGCTCCGAGAGCTCACGGCTGAGGCGCACCCGCCGCAGGCCACCTCCCTCCGGTGCCTCCCGGTCCTCCTGGCCCAGTCGCCGCGCCAGCTCCCAGCCTTCCTCCTCATCCGACACCTCCCCCTCGCTGTCCTCACAGGTGGGCGGCAGCTTCTTGCCCTTGATGAGGATGCGGCCCTTGAGCTCCTCCGGGGATGGCAGGTAGGACGCCACGGGGTTGGGGGGCTCCAGGTACAGCTTCTCCCCCAGCGTCTTGCGCAGGCACTGAGCAGCGAGTCGCTGCTGGGGGGCCGAGCAGCGCACCACCAGGCAGAGGATCAGGGGGTAGGCGGAGGCAGTGAAGGCGTGCTGGTCAATCAGCCCCACCACGGCACGGAAGGGCACACAGGAGGCAGCTGAGGGGCTGGTGTAGACCACAGGCTCACCCTCGGGGCCATCCCACAGCACCAGCTCGATGCTGCGGCAGCCCAGGCCCAGGGCACTGATGTAGCCACTGATGTCTGAGCGGCCCCAGAAGTTGTCCTCCAGCAGGCAGGCGCTGTGGGCAGAGCTGATGTAGTAGTGGGAGAGGGGCTGTGCCATGTCCTGGCAGACCTTGCGGTGCTGTGGGTCAAAGATGGAGCAGTCAGCAGAGAGCAGGTAACGCGTGAAGCCATCGATGGCCAGGTAGCCCTTCTCCCGGCCCTCCTTGGAGGGTTCATACTTGCTGACGATCTCCAAGCACTTCTCCTCTGTCACCCCCTCCATGCCCTGCTCCACCTCCAGGAACATCAGCAGGTCCTTCACACCCAGGTATTCCTTGTTGCTGGAGAACTGGACCAGCAGGAAGAAGATCTCAGGGCGGGTGCAGAGCTCACAGTATGCCTCCACGAAGAGGTCACAGGCCACCTCCGTGCCAGGACGCTCGCTGGCCTTCTGCAGTTCCTTGAACTTCAGCTCGATGGTGGAGGTCTTCATGCCAGGGTTGAGTGCTTTGATCAGCTGCACAGCCCGGGACACAGGGATGCGGCCAGACTTCTCCAGGTCAGCAAGGTCAAAGACAGAGGAGATCCAGGATGTCCGGAGGCTGGGGTGGCCAGTCCCAGGCGCCTCAGGGCTGTGCTTTCCATAGGACACCAGATAGCGCAGCCCCATCACCCAGGCACTCACCACATCTGCTGAGCTGGCCACCAGGTCCAGGGACTCGTAGTTGTCTCCATAGATGATGGAGAAGGCGCACTCGTCTGGGAACTGGTCGGAGAGGCCATTGCTGCGCAGGACAGGTGTCTTCTTGCCCACACGCACCTCTTTGACCGACTTGATCTCGATCTTGGCCTTCTCTGAGTCCTTCTTGGAGGGCTCCCAGCGCACGGAGCGCATGTCGGCATCCAGCACGAAGAAGCGGCTGTACATGCGGGAGTTGGAGCGCACCTTCTTCAGCTCACAGCCCTCCAGCATGAGGGAGATGCAGGCAGCTGTGCTGTTGATCTTGCGGTCATTGGGCATGGAGCTGAAGGACACTGTCTTCTTCTTCTGTGCTGGCCGCTGCCGAGAGCCATCCTGCCAGGGTGGGAAAGGGGCAGAGTCATCAGGGACAGCCAGGCAGCACAGGCCTCACCAGTTCCTGGCATCCTCCTTCCCCACGGTCCCCCCACCCCAACCCAGCCCAAAGTAGTGCTTAGCACTGCCCCAGGGTGCCCCAGCACCACACTAAGCCCAGTCCACACCAGTCCGCCCCTCTCCTGGGGGGCTGGGAGCCAGCTCCAGCCCTGGCTTTCCTCACAGCTCACTGCCTGGCTTATTTTAACTCTGCTTTCCTTCCTTCCTTCCTGCTCCTGGCCCTGAGCTGGATCCCTCCCCACTGCTCGCTCACCCTCACAGGCACAGCCATGAGCCAGCAGCCCAGCACAGCCCCTGGCTGCTTGGCCTGGGGACATCAGAGGAAAACAGACACCCGGCATGTGATGCATGAGCAGAGCTGCTCCTAGAGAGCCCAAGGCAGAGCCCCTGCTCTCCTGCGAGGAGCGGGGCAGGACAGTCCCTGCCAGTGCCACACGCTGGGGACCACCGTGGCCACGGCTCTGTCCCACAGAGCGCAGGGTCACGAGGGCACGGGCTGTTTGCTGCCAGCACCTCATACCCACACTCTGTCCTGCCTCACTACGGGGAGGGGGACCCAGCTGCCACGGGGCTGGCAGGGGATAAGGGGGAACAGCAGGGCCAGGAGTGTATTATGGGATGGATTTCATTAAGCAGCACAGTAGGAGGAGATTTAATCCACTTCTTCAAGATTATGGTGAGTCACCTCTAATCTGGTGGTGTCTCTGTCAGAGGCAGGTCCTGCTCAGCTGCCCAGGTTGGAGGTGAGGGGTTGCTCCCCTTCAGTGCCCTGACAGCTTCCACAGCTCCTGCATGGGGCTGCGCCTGGGCAAGCACATGCCGTGCCTGATCCTGGAGGGTTGGGATCTGCCCCACGGAGTCAGGCAGCCACAGCCAAGGGCATCCGGGATAGGTCACTCAAATAGATGTGTGGCTTCCCCAGGGAATGGGGAATCCTCCAGGAATGCCCAGGGAAGGAGGAACCAGCACCAGCCCTGAGCACCTTGTTAGAGCCAGGCATATCCTACTACCCCGGAGCTCGGATGTGGTGGCTGTTTGCATCCTCTCGCTGCCAGATTGCTCCAGGGAGCTGGCCGAGCTCCAAGACCCTGCCTCGGTGCCAGCCATCCCGGGTCGGCAGGCGCTCAGCGGCAGGTCACGCCATCGGCCAGCCCTGCGGGGAAGAACTCGACGCCGGATGCTTCCTGCGTGCTGCAATCTGAGCGCCCCACTGACAGGCAGCCGCAGCCCCCAGCTGGCCGAGGGGCGATGGGCACCGAGAGCCGCACCTCCTGCTCCCCGGCAGGACCCCCGCCTCTCTGCGGACCCGCTCCCCGCCCGGCGCACCCACCCCGAGCGGCTCCGCACCGGGCCCCACAGCTGAAAACAGGAAATCCATCCGGAAAGGAAACACGGGCGGGGGGCCTGCGTGCACCCAGAGCCAGGGACCTGCTTCCAGCTGTGCCTGATGCAGGCGGCCACACACACCCCACCGGCACCAGCCCCGCCGGTCCCCCCGCACCCCGGCTCAGGGCGAAAGCCCGAACGCCCTCCCTGCAGACCCCCACCCTCTCAGGCGTAGATAGGGGAGGGGGTGCCCGCTGCAGCACTTTGGGGTGCAGATGGGTGGCACAGAGCCAAGAGCGCACACAGACCCCGCTTCTCCCTCTGAACGGGCAAACAGCGAACAGGGGATGCGAGGAGCCTCCCGTCTGCAGCCGCCCTACGCTCCTCAGTGCTGCCTGGGGACCGGCGGGGAAGAGCCTCTGCTCCCTGGCAGCCTTTCCCAGGCTGTTCCCGGTGGTCTTCAACCCGGGGGACAGCCCACGGAGTGCTGGACGAGGCGCGGCAGGAGCAGCGCAGGCAGGTGACGAGTAAGGCAGCAGTGGAGCCGGGAGGACACGGTGCCCACGGCCATGACAGCATGGAACACCCCCAGACAGAGGGCAGAGCTCCGGCCGGATCAGGGATCCTGCTCGCTGTGCCACCGAGCTGGCAGGGAGCAGGCAGGGCTCCACAGAGCAAAGCACAGACCGCGATGCCGATGGCGGTGCCAGTGGTGAGCGTGGGCTCACAAGGAGGGCACGTTCCAGCCCAGCTGCCTGCCCTGCTCAGCACTGCAGCGTGTGTTAAGCACCTCTTCAGCCAATTATCTCCTTCATTAGTGCCCTGGTGAGTGCTGATGCCCTAATCTCAGCCTCCACGTGACGGCCACCGTTACCGACCACATAACCCACTCTCAAAGCAGGGGATGGAGAAGGGCCCATCAGTTGTCCCTCCTTTCCCTTTATCCCGCAGCCTGGCCGTGACGTGACTCATCTGCAGCTGAATTCCCCAGGTCCCGGGTCTCCCCGCTACCCCTAATCCAGCGTGGGCAGGGGTGCGGGCAGGCAGCAGCCCCGGAGCTGAGGCAGTGGGAGGCCAGGCACAGTCAGGGCTTTTCTACCGTCGCTTGTTCCCTGCCAAGAAGAGAGCGACTGACACATCCACTCCCCGCGGCACCAGCTGCCACTCCCCGGCGAGGGGCCGTGGAGTCAGATCCCAGCAGAGGCACCACACAGCTCCTGGGACTGGCACGCGATGGGAAGGGGGCTCGGGGGACAGAGCAGCAAAATGCTATGGAAGCGAAACCTCCTGCAGAATATCCAATACCCCCAAGTCCCTCTCAGCCCACGGGACCACCAGCCCGCTCCGCTTTCAGCCTGAGAAGAAAGAAGGGAGCAGGTCCTCTAGCCAGGGCACAGGGACACTGCAGGGGACAGCTCTGAACCCCGGTGCCTCAGGCCCCCCTGTCTCCACACAGCCAGTGAGTCGCACTTTCAGATTCACTCCTCCAGCCTGTTCTGGAAATCCCAAAAAATAACAGAGCTGGCAGCTCTTTCCACATGTGCCTCCGCTGCCGCTCAGGCCCCGGATGGACTCGGAGATGCACAACGGATCGGCACAAGCTGGGGACACTGTCCGGGTCTGACCTCTCCCGGGCCAGCGCCCTCCCTCTCCAGTGCTGGCCCTGGGCCACCCGACCTTCACGTGAGGCCAAATCCCGCGGTGACGCAGGTGGTGACAGGGATGTGCCCGGCCCGGTGCAAGCGAGATGTTCACCACCCCCAGCCCGCCATGCCCACGGATGGTCCCTGGGCAAGGAATGATGCTGGTCCGTCCCGGGAGGAGCAGGAGACCTCGGCAAGGTCCCCAAGGAAACCGGGCACAGACGGTGCACTGGCAGCAGCCTCTGGTAGCACGGGAGCACTCGCAGGTCTCGGTGCCGTCACCGCGTGGGCACAGCCCGGCCGCCCCCGCAACAGTTTGCAGCGAGAGCCCAGGCGGGCGCGGGCAGGGACTCAGGGTCCTGACTCCGCTGTCCAGAAAACTGGGCTGGGGCACCACGGAAACAGCCCCCTCACCGGGTATTAATAGCACCGGAGCAATCCCAGCTTAAAATAGGCTGCCGGGAGCGGGGAGGCAAGTCCCGGGCGGACGTGACCTATTGTGTCAGCGAGTACCGCTGGCATCAGCACAATCAAGGGGGTTCATTTAGGAAAGCACACGTGGGATCCGCTGCCCACCCAGGTGGGAGACCCCCCTAGACCCCGGCCCCACCACGGCCCGGCAACACCAACACCAGGTGTTGGGAGCAGACTGCAAGCTGCTCAGGCCAGGCCCGAAGCTCAGCACTTGTCAGGAAGAGAGCACGGGAGAGCAGAGGCTGCTCCAGGGGCAGGAGCGGGCATCTTCTCACGGGAACCCAGGGGTGTCCTGAGCAGGACCGGGTGATGCTGCAGCGTGGCCACGGCACTTGACAGGGCGATCCATGGACACTCCACAGAGCCGGGCCGGGCCAGATTGTGCCCTTGGGGACCCTGGGTCCAGGCAGGGCGCGGGGACGCCGTGTCAGTCCCGGCGTGACCAGCACCACGGGCAGGCGGCGACCCTCGGTCGCCCGGGGGATGCGGCTGCTCTGCAGCTCCTCGGAGCGGCTCCACGGGCACAGGGGGAGCGAGGAGCGGCGGACAGAGCCGGTGCGGGGGGACGCGGGGCTCGGCTGGGGGACACGGCTCGGCACCCCAGCGCTGCGCAGGTGCCGGGCCCGGGGCGCGGGGGGGCCGGGCCGGTGCGGGGCTCTCACCTTCATGATGCTGGCCCGGGGCGCGGCGGGCGCGGGGCTCCGCTCCGCCGAGTCCTCGCGGCTGCTGCTGCCTGAGCCCGAGCCGGGGCTGCCGCCGCCGCCGCCGCGGGGCCCGTTAGGCAGCGGCGCGGCGGGGCGGGGCGAGCCCGGCGGCGGGGCGCCCCGGGACCCCTCCGCCATCCCCCGCGGCCTCAGGGCAGCGGCCGCCGCGGGGCCCCGGGGCGCCCGGAGCCTGCGCCCGCCGCCGCCGCCGCTGCGGGCTCAGTGGCGGAGCGGGCGGGAGGCGGCGCGGCCGGGAGGAGGAGACGGGCCGGGCCGGGGGCGGGGACGCGGCGGGGATGGGGATGGGGACGGGGACTGCGCGGCCCCCGAGCACCGAGCTGCAGCGGCGGGGCGCGGACGGCCATCGGACACCGGCACCTTCCACCGCCGGGGCATCCCCGGCCTCCGCCCAGTACCGCAGCGTCCGGGCCCGGCAGCCGCCCCATCCCGGTGGGACCCCGGCCGAGCCCGCACCCTGCAGCCGGGCACGCAAACCCCGCCTAGCACCCTTCAGCCGGGCACCCGCACCCTCTAGCCTTGGTACCAGCAGCACAAATGAGCCTGCACCCGAAACAAGCTGCACCCTGCAGTCGGGCACTCAAATCGACCTTGCGCCCTGCAGCCTGGCATCCAAACCCAGGCGGGCACGCAGCAGCCTGGCCCTGCCCAGCGGGTTCCACCCCAGCGACCTCCCCTCCCTCCGGGGTGGTACCCGGGCACGGCAGCGCAAGCAGAGCCGCCCAGAGCAGCCCTGGCACCGCACGGCTCTGCCAGGCAGCTGCCTCAAGGCTTTTGTTGCGGGGTGCTCCCAGCCCAAGGCAAAGCTTCACCGCGACCTGGAGCAGAAATTTTGCTCCAGTTTTTTTCCAGCAGGGATGGGAGCGCAGGCCTCAGCCAGGTTCGTGCCTGGCGGGGGTCTCGGCTGTGCTGGAGGATGCTTGGCTTTGTGTGAGCCTTGTTCAAGAGATCATCTCCTGCCCACGGCCCGGCTGCCCCCCAGCAGCAGCTGCGGCACAGCAGGTGCCCCCCACGCCCTCACCAGCCCTTGAAATAACCCTTAATGAGCATGGGGGGAAATGACCAGTCCCTCCCGATAGTACACGTGTGCCTCAAAGGCACAAAGAGCCTCAGCCCCCAGAGCACAGCAGCCACTCTGCTGGTTAAATATTCATGGCTGTCCCTTCCCCAGGACCCCCAAGAACAGCCCCCAGAGCAGTCAGATTGCTTGAGCAATCTCTTTAATGAGGATTAAAAATAATAGTCTAAAAAAATCAATCCCAGAGTTTGGTACTTTATTTATTTTTAAGAGATAATCCTCCTTTATTTTGCATTTGGTTTTTAAAACATTAAAAGCAGCCCTCACTGGAGCTTATTTTTAAATCAGTGGACACGCACTGAAGCCTGACTGGGGCTGCTCTGTGGCACCTGCCACCACCAGCCCTGCCCGCAGTGTCCCTGCCAGGGGACAAAATGCCACAGGGCCCCAGTGCTCAGTGATGAGCCACAGCTCTTCTGCTCCGCCTGCTCCTGCAGTTTTCCATTGAGCCCACTGCCTCAGCCACGGGCTGTGGTGCACAGTATGTCCCTTGGGAAAGGCACAGGCACCCACTCCTCTGTGGCTGCAGGTGCTGCCAAGGCATTGAGCGACCCTGCAGCTGCAGGATTCCCCTGCCCCGTGATGCTCCCAAGCTCTCGCTCCATCCCCACAGCAGCACTGAGTGGTGCACCAGTGGAGCACCAGTGCCACCACAGATCAAGTTCACTGTCTCCATTTGCTCCAAACCCTTGGGGCTGGGCACCCTTGCCCCCATGCCCTCCTGCCCCTGGGACATGGCCCCTCCTCAGAGGGTGCATGCCAAGGGAACCCCAGGGTGGAAGGGGGACCCCTAGGCTGCCCTACGAGATGACTGATCCCTGGATGAGCCGCAGCAGCTTCTCTTGGCGCAGGACCCTGGGCATGGGCATGGGGGAGCCCAGAGCTTCCCGCAGCCGGGTGAAGCTCCCGGGCCTCACCAGGTGCAGGCGCAGGGGCCCAATGCTGCCCTTGAAGCGGAAGGATTTGTAGATGGGGAAATCCTCCTGGAGACACTGGTCCAGCTGCAAAGAGAGGGCAGCTGCCTGTGCTGGTCCCACACTGCCATAGCAGTGTCCTTCAGCCACCTCACACAGCCCCAGAGCAGAGCCCATGTCCTGCTCACCCTGTAGCGCTGTCCCTCTGACAGGTCCCGCAGGCCCTGCAGCTCCATGAACACCTCGTAGTGGGGGGCACAGGGTCCCGAAGAGTCACCTGGGCCAGTACCATGGGAATGTTAAAGCTGCCCTCAGTCCCCCGTCCTCTGGGCACAGGAGGGCTGCAGAGCTCCATGCAGTGCCAGCTACACTTTTGGGGGAATTTGGAGAGCTCAGGAGGACTCACCCAGCAGGTTGCTCTCCACACAGACATAGTCAATCAGGCGAGCCCCTGGCCACATCCTCAGGGTGCGGCCCAGGCTCTGGCAGAACTGCTCCTCAGGGATGCTCTCACCTCGCACGCTCAGTGTCTGGCTCTCCCTGCGGTGCAGGGACACGGGGTGGGTCACTGGCACCCTCCTGCTAAGACCCTGCCCATAGACGGGCCCAGCTCCCAAAGGTGAGGGACAGGGGGTGGGGTGTCCTCACCTGCGCACAGGTTCCACCACGGGACACTGCTTGTGGAAGCCGGTCACCTTCAGCACCTCCCCAGTACGGCATCTGCGTGGGCAGGGAGAGTGTGAGGGGGAGAAGGGTGCATGGGGCTGGGGGAGGCAGCCCTCCAGGGCTACACAGCAGGGAGGAGGCACCTGTACTCTCCTGGCTGAGCTGTCACAACCAGCCCATACTCGCGTCCCTCCCAGAGCTCATCCAGCAGCACCGTCCGTGGCTCCTTGGTGGCCAGGCAGGGCAGGAACTCGCAGAAAGCCCAGTCAGGGCACAGCAGGAATTGGGGCGCTGGCTCCACTGGCCACAGGTTTATACCAAGCAGGGCTGGGCAGAGGCAGCATGTGCCAATGTGAGCTCCCAAGACCCTCCCTTGCCCACAGAAGCCTCACCCCTCTCCAAGGGGCAGAATTTTGCTGGCGCCGGGACTGAGCCGTTCTCAGGTTGCAGGAAGTGAATGAAGCACAGAGATGCACCAGCATCTGCTGGGGCAGGGAGACCTGTGCTGCCATATGGCAGCAGCTCCCTGTGGGCACCCAGGGCAGGCCATGGGCCACACTGGCGTGGGGGACACTCACCTCCTGCTGCCTGGTAGAAGGGGCAGTAGAAGGGCAGTCCCTGGCAGTCGGTCTGGCAGAGGGAGTCGCGGTAGAGCCGCTCCGCACCATGCGCCGTCCTCACCACCACCACCTCCAGCTGCGGCCACAGACGCAACACGATGCCCTCGAAGCCACGGGCGCACTCAGCACGGAGCTCGGCTGCCCGGGCAGCATCAGGGGTCAGCAGCGCCTGCAGCTGGTCCCGCACCCCCTCGGGCAGCCCGGGCTGGGGGCTCAGCCTGCCCAGCGCCAGCTCCTGGGCCAGCTGGGGCCATTCAGTGCGCAGGGCCAGCAGCGCATCGTGCAGCTCGGCCGCCAGCCCGGCCTCCAGCACATGCAGCGCTCGCTGCCGCAGGGCAAAGAGCAGCTGCAGCCGCAGCGCAGCCGCCCGAGAGCGCAGGGTGCCCGCAGCGGCCGGGGTGCAGTACAGGGTGGGCAGCGGCCACCCCGCCGGGGCGCGGGGACAGCCAGGGGTCCAGTGCAGCACGGCCGTGCCCCGGCGGGACAGGGCCCGTGGAAAGGCGGCACCGAGGGCGTCCAGGTAGAGCAGGGACCCCTGCGGGGAACGGGAGGGTCAGGAGGGCAGACCCTGCGGGGATCCGCGCCCACGGCGCCCGCCGCTCCCCGCACCTGCAGCCGGGGGTCGGGGTCCCAGCAGCCGAAGAGCAGAGCCCACAGACGCGGCGGGGGAACCGGATCCCCCGGCGCTTCTTCCCCCCAGGGCTGCCCCAGGGGATGCCGCTCCTGGAACTGCTCCGAGCCTGCCGGGAGAGGCACAAACTGAGAAGGGCAGCCGGGCAGGGACCGACCCCTTCCCGGCCCCCGCGCCGCAGCCCCGCGCTCACCGCCGGCGGTCCCGGTGCCCAGCAGGCGCCGCAGCCGCCGCTCCTGGCTCAGCCGCACGTCCCTGCCCAGAGCCTGCAGCCGCCGCCGGTACCGGCCCCCGGCGCGGCGCAGAGCGGAACGGAACAGGCGGTGCCGCAGCGCGGGGACGGCCACGGCCACCAAGGCCACGGCCACGGCCACCGCCGCCGCGACCGCCACCGCCGGCAGCATCGCGGAATGCGGACACCGCCCCAGGGCAGGGACTCGGCCCCGGACCCCCCTCGCCCACCCGGCTATTCCGCCTCCGGCAGAAATGACGGAGAATTATCGCGCCCGGCGCCGCCCCCCCTCCCCGCTTTACTTTTATTTTCATTTTCGCCTTTACACAGCACACCCGGAGCCCCCCGCTCGGCGGGGAATTCAACAGCAATTTAACCCCGAGTACCAGCGCCCTCTACCCCTCCGTCAAGAGCAAGATCCTTCTTCGAAAAACAGGGCAATTGATCCGCTTTACTTTGCTTTTTTGCCCGGAAAAACGGCCCCAGCCCCAGCCCAGCCCCTGCTCCCCAGGGCAGCCCTCCCGCCCGGACAGAGCCCCTCAGATCCGCCCAGCTTGTGCCAGTGGAGGCTCGACGACTCTGCCCTCGGGGACAGGAACCCCGACCACCAGGCCCAGCCCCAGCATTCATCTGGTGCCCCCGAGATGAGGAGCTCCCCAGAGGGACCCGCCTCTGTCCCAAGACACACGTGGCACCCAGAGCTTCTGTGTTACAAAAATATTCCGTGCTTTATTTACTCTGTGATAGAAAAATAACATGGCCAGGACCCCAGAGTTTCCCGCCCAGGCGAGGGGAGAGGCAAAACTTCCCCAAACCCCCTGCCCACCC